ATGGGCATCAACTATAATTAGCTTCTCTCTCTCTCTCTCTCTCTCACATAATGATCTTTTTCCTTTTCTTGTGTGCTTGAGATAGATACACTGGAAGCGGGAACTAAGTGTCGATCACAACATTAATGTGGATTTGGTTGCATTGGTTCAAACCTTAAGAAGAAAAAACTTACCTCATGTTGCTCAGGAGATTTTACATGAGATCAATTCTGGAAGTCTTCCACTTGACAACTCTGCCTTGTCAGCTCTGATGCTTTGCTATGCTGATAATGGTCTTTTCCACGAAGCACAGGCAATTTGGGATGAAGTTTTAAACAGTTCTTTTAGGCCTAATATTCATATAATTTCAAAACTCATTGAAGCCTATGGTAGGATGGGACGTTTTGATGATGTGACCAGAATTCTGCATCAAGCAAGTTTGAGAGACTCTAACTTGCTACCTGAGATTTATGTAGTGGCTCTCTCTTGCTTTGGAAAGCAAGGACAGCTTGAGCTGATGGAAAATACACTCAGAGAGATGGGTTCAAGGGGTTTCTCAGTAGATTCTGCCATCGGAAATGCTTATATCATATATTACAGCTTGTTTGGTTCTCTGACTGAGATTGAAGCTGCATATGGCCGTCTTAAAAGGTCTAGAATTCTCATAGAAAAAGACGGAATAAGGGCAATGTCATTTGCCTACATAAAGGAAAAGAAATTTTATAGATTAGGTGAGTTTCTGAGGGATGTGGGTCTTGGTAGGAGAAACGTGGGAAATCTTCTGTGGAATCTTCTGCTTCTATCATATGCTGCGAATTTCAAAATGAAAACCTTGCAGAGAGAATTTTTGAGAATGGTGGAAGCCGGATTCCATCCTGATCTTACAACATTTAACATTCGAGCTCTAGCTTTTTCAAAAATGTCTTTGTTTTGGGATCTCCATTTAAGCCTTGAACATATGAAGCATGAACAAGTTGTCCCTGATCTTGTGACTTACAGTTGCATTGTTGATGCTTACTTGGACAAAAGACTGGGAATGAATTTGGACTTTGCTTTAAGTAAAATGAATGTACATGCGTCTCCACAGGTATTTATGGATCCATTTGTTTTTGAGGTTTTGGGAAAAGGAGACTTTCACTCAAGCTCAGAGGCATTTTTGGAGTTTAAGAGGAAGAACTGGACTTATAAGGAGCTGATCTCAACCTATCTCAAGAAGAAGTATCGGAGTAATAGCCCACTCTGTAATGTTGGTTTCGCGTTTGGATCCCATCAAATATCTTTTCGAGAAACCAGCGCTTACGGGTAGGCTAGCTCGTTGGTTGCTGTTGCTCTCCGAATTTGATTTGAAGTATGTAACGCGCAAGTCAGTAAAAGGTAGAGCGGTAGCGGAGTTCCTTGCCGACCACCCGGTTGAGGGGGATGAAGCGGTTGAGTATCTATTCCCAGATGAAGCCATTCTGCACGTCGAAGATGAAACTTGGACAATGTACTTTGACGGAGCGTCAAACCAGTATGGGTATGGGATAGGGGTGATGCTGATAGCGCCTGATGATTCCCGTATCCCTTTAGCATTCAAGCTCCAGTTCAAAGTTTCCAACAATGAGGCAGAGTATGAGGCATGTATTGCTGGCCTGGAAGCAGCCCTAGAACTAGGAGCGAGACGGCTGGACGTCATTGGGGACTCGAACCTCGTTGTGTCTCAAGCAAAAGGAGATTGGAAGGTCAAGGAGGAAAGGATGATAATCTACCACCAAACCTTGGATTTGTTAATTCCTCGGTTTGAGAAGCTAAATTTCACCCACCTCGTAAGAGAGAACAACAGGTTTGCAGATTCATTAGCAACTCTATCTTCTATGATAGACATCCCGTCCGGAGTCCGGATGCGTCCAGTCATTATTGATCAGAAGTTCGTGCCAGCATACGAGTCAATTTCCGCCATAGATGAGGTTCAAGACGGAAACCCCTGGTATTACGACATCTGGAACTTCTTGGAAAGGGAGACATATCCACTAGGGGCAAATGCCAAGGATAAGAGGGCTGTCAGAAGAATGGCTGCTCAGTTCGCTATCTGCGGAGGGAAGCTGTACAAAAGGGGTCATCTGGGAATGCATAAGCTCTGTGTAGAAGCTGAAGAGTCAAGACGCCTGATGGAAGCCATCCATGGGGGAGAGTGCGGTGCACATATGAATGGGGTGATGCTGGCCAGGAAAATCCTCAGACAGGGCTACTACTGGTCGACCATGGAGGAAGATTGCATTACTTTTGTTCGGCGATGCCACAAATGTCAAATTCATGCAAATCGCATGAACATCCCGCCGTCAAAACTGCACAACATGACTTCACTGTGGCCTTTTTCAGTCTGGGGAATTGATGTATTCATGCAAATCGCATGAACATCCCGCCGTCAAAACTATACAACATGACTTCCCGTTGGCTTTTTCAGTCTGGGGAATTGATGTGATCGGAGCTGTTACCCCGAAGGGGTCCAACGGGCATGAGTTTATCCTAGTAGCGATAGATTATTTCACAAAGTGGGTTGAGGCCCAATCATACGCGGTGTTGAAGGCGTCGCATGTCGCAAAGTTCATCAGGAACAACATCATCTGTCGCTACGGAGTGCTAAACGAGATAATTTCGGATAATGGATCCCACTTTAAGAAAGAAGTGGTTGACTTGTTAGAGAAGTATAACGTGGCTTTTCATAAGTCATCTACATACCGGCCACAAACCAATGGAGCAGTTGAGGCCGCCAACAAGAACGTCAAGCATATACTACGGAAGATGGTGGAAACCTATCGAGATTGGCCAAATAAGTTGTCGTTTGCTCTGTGGGGCTACAGGACTTCAATTAGAACTTCTACCGGAGCGACTCCATATTCGTTAGTTTATGGAATGGAGGCCGTTCTACCTATTGAAATTGAAGTTCCGTCTTTACGGGTATTGGCTGAGTGTCAGATAGCTGAGGCAGATTGGCAGCAGAGCAGGTTTGAGGAACTCATGCTCTTTGACGAGAGAAGGCTGAAAGCACTGTACCACGTCCAAAGTTATCAACGGAGAATTGCCCGGGCTTTCAACAAGAAGGTTAAGTCCAGGAATCTGAAAGAAGGAGATTTGGTGCTCAAAGACAACCGAGCTCCCATCCACGACCCAAGGGGCAAGTTCAAACCCAATTGGACTGGTCCTTACATCATCAAACCTATCTGGTCAGGTGGGGCTGTGGTTCTGATGGATCTAGATGGCTTGGAGTTCTCACAACCGATCAATATGGACAAGTTGAAGAAATACTACCCTTGAGAGGCTCGCTAGGCCGAAAACCCGAAAGGGCGACCTAGGCAAAATCAGAGCACAAAAAATTAGAAAATATAAAAACTGAGCTCGCAAGGTTGAAAACCCGCAAAGGGCGGCCTTGGCAAAAGTTAGAGCGCAAAAGGAGAGTGAAAATACTCGAGTGAACCTTAGCCTGAACTACGTAAGGCTTGATTCCCATCTTTGGGATACGTAGGCAACTTCATCTTGAAGTTCAGCCATAAACTCTTCCCCGATCAACTCTGTCCATTTTGGTCGTCTCAGTCATCTTTATTCATCAGCATTTATCGTGATCTCCGGTACAGTGCTGTTCAGACTAGGGGCAACTTTCCGTTGCCGTGACGGTGCAAAGTTACTCAGACTAGGGGCAACTTTCCGTTGCTTTGCAGTGCTGCATTGTTCTTCAGACTAAGGGCAACTTTCCAGTTGCGGGGATCTGGGGTTGTGCATCTCAGTGACAGATTTCCGGCGTGTCCAATTCTGATCCACATCGAAAATAGTTTTGAAAAGTTTTAATAAAAGTTGACTTTGTTCAAATCAATCTTTTTACGACTAAGACCATTTTTGGACCAAAAGCGGAAAATTTTCAGTACCATAACTTTCAATTTCTTTGATTTCAAAATAGAGTTCTCCTACTCTTGCATTACAATCGAGGTTGTTTTTTTAGTACATTCATAAAGAAAACTTGAAAATGCTAACTGAGCAATAAATTTGAGGCATAGTTGAATCAAGTATCTCTGCGTCCCCTCCCGGAGCTGGACGGAGCATCTGATACCAAGCTGGGCCCAACTTGTGCCTCCTCATTGAGCCAATCCACGCACTCATCGGATAAAGTGCAACTGAAAGAGGAAGCAGGGGCCAGGAGCTCTCTAGTCCTCCATGCTGTGGCATATCGGGCAAGCTGTGCACCCCGGACCGGGAAAGCGGCTGGGTACTCAATCCCCTCCGGTGGACAGGTCTGATCATGACCAAAGTGACGCAGGAACCGGAACGGAAAATAGAATACGCAGCGGGTTAGACCAATCAGTTGGATCCCAATCAGCCGGGACATACTATAGCTCATTGCCGGGAGGTTGAGCCAAGGACAACGCCAAGCAATGCCTTCTGCGGACAAATTGCACATCCAATCGAACCACCACCTTTCGTCAAGAGCATTGACTAGGCGCTGCCGAAAGAAGTAACCTCGAGCTGAATAAGCCGGGCAAGAGTCCACAACCTGCAACTTATCCATTAACCATACCTGGGGGAGGGATAAAAAAATGAGAGAATAAAGAATAGAGAGGTGTACGATGAGAGAAAAGTAAGACAAGGGTTTTGTGAGAAATATCGAGCCTGAGGGTCGAGTGATGTAAGCAGATATATATGTAAGGACGGGTGGGAAACATTACCTGCAGCAGCAGTGGACTCCCAGCAAACCTAGTCGCCTCCCGGCGATAGACAGAATCTAAGCCCATCAGTGTCTCGGCTAAGGTCATGGCAATACAGCTCTTTCCTTCTCTCAAACCTTGGGCGACTTCAATCAGGCGAATGCTAGCCCCGCCGAAACCCGAGGAAAGCAGAAAGTGAGACAACAAACATAAGCAGAGGGCGTGTTGCCGGAAACCCTGCAAATAATGGTTGCTGCGGTCACCGGCGTCGGAAAAACGATGGATCAAGCCGAGGATGTCCAGCTCCCCACTGCAGATCAGAGATCGAGCGTCATGCGCCGTGAGCCCACACATCCGCCCTAAAGCCTGGGCGTGACCAAAACGGAGTTGAGGCAAGATCACTTCAGAGCACTCGGACTCCATCAAAACTTGAAAGTCTTCGAAAGTGGGACACATCTCTTGGCCGCCAAAGCTAAAAACATGCGTCACTGGATTCCAGAACCTCGCCGCGGCATGGAGAAAAGGTAGGTGTAACCGAGTACGGCTCAGCGTGAATAGTGCATTCAAGCCGAAACCCCGGAAATTCAATTTTTCCGAGCCATCTAGAGAAGAAATCCAAGATGTGACATTTTCTGCGAGAAACGCCTCCATCCTTGTCTAAAACTAAGATGAAATGAATGTTCCCGAAATTGAGGCTTTTATAGAAGGAAAAACACTATTCACGGGGACACGTGTCGAAAATCTGGTGACTACAGGACTGAAGGGCCGGCCAGCTACTTTTTCTGGCTGGCCAGCTATTTACTTTCTGCAGAACTGGCTGGCCAGCCATTTACTTTTCCAAAAATGGCCGGCCAGCTCCCCGGGATGGCTGGCAATGCTGCAGTGTATCTCCTTGGCCCTGTTTTACTCCTCGAGGGAAAGTTCCAAGCATTTCCATGCAACGGGAGAGTCAAAGGCCTTCATTCTGGATGCGTTCCGGTGCCCAGATCGTCAGAAGTGCACTTTGTTGTTGTTGAGTTTTGCTTATCGAGTTGTTGCATTTTGCTTACCGAGTTGTTTGTCGAGCGGACGTGTTTTGTGTTTTCGAGTCATTGCTCTCTGTTTAAGCATTTTTTTTTTGTTGTTGAGTTTTGCTTATCGAGTTGTAAACTTTCTAAAGATTCTATTATATCTTAGTAAGTTAAGTTGTTTAGTTTGTTGCGTCCGTTCACTACCTGACTTGGTGACTACACAATGCGCATTACCATTCAATTTCATTTTTTCGCAAAATAAATTGATGCGATACGATGCTAAAAGTTCAAATTACAAACACCTTTCCAAAAGCTATTTCATTTCATCATGCTTTACAACAAACAAAGGTACAAGTTTTACAAAAAATAAAACTGCCTAACAATGTGCAAAGTGCTACAAACTACTAGTAAAAAGAAAAATAAAGCAGGAAATAGCAGCATCAAAATCCTCGGGAGCGGGAACGAGAAGCACGCCTCATCCTCTTTTGCGGGACAATCTCCGCACCATCATCTGAGTCGGAGCCGTCATACTCAGGATCCCCCTCAGCCTCGCCTCTGTTCCCCGAGCCAAAACCGGAGCCTCCCTCCTCAACAGATGTCTCGAACTGACGGTCGGTAGCCTCCTCCTCCTCCTCATCAGACTCCACCTCCACAACACGAGCCCTGCATCTGCGGACAGGCCCTCCTCGAGCTCCTCGAAAAGGCCTAGATGGCCCAGCTCCTCGAGAAGGCCGAGATGACCCCGCCCCCTGAAAAGGCCCAGATGGCCCAGCTCCCCAATGAGGCCCAGGTGGCCTGGCCTGCGGCTGACCGGACCATTAAGGCATCTGAAAACAAAGAGTTCAAATCAAATACATCAGTCCAAATATGTATATCAGATACAGATGCAAGCAAAAGCTACATGAAGTGGGTGCATGTAAATACAGTGTACAAGTGGGGTGTGTGTCAGATGTGCTCTACACAAGTAGTCTATCGATGCAGTAGAAATCAGCATGTCATCAGAAGTATGATAAATGCCAGAAAACTGAAGGGTACCTGGATGCCCCAACTTTTAAATAAA